TAATAATAATAATAATAATAATAATAGATCAATTCTACAGCGCTCACTCCCTGTTGGCTTTAGACGGTTATCTTGTGTGGTTTACTCCTTCTTTCTTATCAAATGGCTATTGTCATTATCTCCATTCCTTCTTTTCTTTATACGTTACATCAAGTAACAACTCCAAGCTTTGGCACGTATATATCCTACTTGTATTAGTAGTGCCGTAAAACTATCACTGACACGAAACTCAGCAGCGGATAATTTAATAGAAGAAAAAGAATTCAAATAATGAGGCAGTGCTTAGAGAAGCCAGCGACGCTCACAAAACTAAAGCTGTTAGGAAGGACATAATAATATGTAATTTCTTGGAACAATAAAAGCAACATAGAGGTCTTGAATGAATTGCTCTTTCCGGGAAAAAACGAAGGCAAAAGAGGTAGAGGTAGATCAAGAATTATCTACCTAGAGAATTTGAACTGATGGATGACAGGAAAAGATCAGAATAATAAAATGTATATGTATAGGTTTTTCAGAGCATCAGAGAAGCGTGGTCACCGATGACTGTTTCCGATCTGGCTCTTAAAAGATGAATAGTGGGAAATCCGAGTTTGATTCTAGGGTGAGGAGAATTTTTTTTTACAGAGTGTTTTGGTCTTTCTACTCTACTAGCATCTTGTATCCCTCTCATTCCGGGTTGGCCCTGGGGCAGGGTCAACGCCCACCTTCTAAAATTAATTTAAGCTATTATTGTGTCGATGGGAGAGTAACAACAGTTATATTAAAAATTTAGTCAACAGATCACTGCTGTCATTGAGATAAGAAAGTGTTCCGATTATTATCGAATAATTGAACAGTTTATCGATCCGCCCGATGACGCACCAGTTTGGTAGTGACGCTGAGGTCGGCGTGGTAGACAAGGATGAGTCGGACCAGGTCGGTGTCCTCAAATTCTCCATGTGCCTGACTCTTGTTGATCTCTGCCGCGCAGTGGATGGGTGCCTCGCCTTCCTGGGGGAGGGAGAGGGGAGGTGAGTGAGTGAGTGTGTGTGTGAGAGAGAGAGAGAGA